TGTATTGGAATCTTGATAATTTTGGAGCTTTGAAAATTTAAGCACCAGTTGATTTTAAAAGAATTTAGGGGATTTCTAGGGGTTGTGTTGATCATGAGAAATTGCTTTGAGTTTTTCTGTTCTGATAAGTGTTTTTCTGACAACTGTAACATACAAAGCTGCAACAACTTATGACAAATTTTTACTGTAGATTTACACGGGGTGTTAAACCGCCGTGCTTGCACGGCGTGAGCAAATCTAGTATATATATATATGGTTGGGTTCACATGAGAATGACTCTCCATGAAAGAAATGAGAATAAATCGTATCCATTAGATCAAATGATCTAATGGTTAAAAAAAAGTCAAAATTATATTTTCATTAAGGGTATTATAGACATTACACACACCAACTATACACATTACAATTATTGAGCCCCACTCCAATTAAACTGTCGGGTTCCCAGATTGTCACTTTCCCACCCAACCATCTCTATCTCTCACACACTCCCTCTCTCTCTCTCTCTCTCTCTCTCTCTCTCTCTCTCTCTCTCTCTCTCTCTCTCACACACACACACACACACACACACACACACACACACACACACACATTACACACAGTAAATACAAGCACGCGATACACACACTACACAGACCACCGTCGGCCTCCAGCCCCGCCACACTTGCTGGAGAAATACCACAGCCTCTCCCACCGGTCGACTTCCGATATCCACCGTCTCCATCGACATCGCCCGTCGTCCTGGTACAGCCGTCGCCGTCTGTGTCGAACAGCAGCCACCGTCTCGACGCCGCCTCCAAAATCCCGACGGTCTTCCGCCAACAGCCGCTCCACCACTCGCCACCGCCATCTTGCAGTCCCGCCTCCGCCGTACAGCGCCGCCCACCACCATCACCGCCACCGCCTCATAAACTCCGACCGAATCTCCATTCAACGCAACACTCTACCCACTATCTCCAGACGGCGGCGACACGCCGTCCGCTGCTTTCGGCTCACACACACAAGCACTATGTCATACGCGCCACCAAAACACACACACACGCACAGACCAAAAGCCGATACCATCCGACCAAGAGGATGTCTATGATTTTCCGACCGCCAGTGTAGTTGTGTGTGCTGGAAAGCTGCAACATTCAATTTGGGGGATGTGGGGCTTTTTATTTAGAATTTGATGATTTATTAGGACATAGTTGCAATATTAAGAATTTTGTTTATATCACAATTTGGTACATGTCCAAATGTGTAATTTATAGAAAATTTAATAAATGTGTAGTAAATGTGCATATTCAAATTTGGATGTAGGGTTTCATTGATTTTTTTTTTAATTAGATATTGTTGAGGTACAATTTTATAATTTTATCAATTTTGACTATTTTTAATTTAGTTAGTGACCAAATATAATTTTTATCAATATTCTCATAAATTCATATTAATAATCAATAAAATGTGCAATGTTTAAAAAATTTTAATATGTACAATCTTGATACATTAAAAATATTAAAATAATAAATATACTTTTATAATAAAAAATAATAAATAATTTCAATAATTTAGGTTAATTCGATACACAATTATGTCTACTAATTTTAGTTTTCAAAAAACACGTAATTTATATGCGATCATATAAAGTAGTACACTTTATATATCAACGAGTTGCACTTTATATAACATCAAGTTGCACCTTATAAAACACCACGTTGCACTTTATCACCACATTCCACAATTAACGTTAATAGCTACCGCCAACATACCACAAAACATAAATCTAGGAAACACGTTTACACAATACTTTAACATTCGTCACATCATATATCCACAAAAAACACAGGCATGGTAACGTACCAAAGTTATAGTAGTTCACTTTATATATCATCACGTTGCACTTTATGAAACATCGTGTTGTACTTTATAAAACATCACATTGCACTTTTTCACGACTATCAGATCAACAGTATAGAACGGACCGAACTCAAATTATTTCAACCGAAAAATAATATAAAAATAATAAATTAAATTATGAATATAATAAATAAATTTTTAATATAAATAACAAGTTATTTCGATAATTTAGTAACTGATACTCGATTAAGTTTGGTTTTTAATTTTAAAAAATTTGATATTTTTTTAAATAATTGAAATAACATATCCAACCACAATATAAAATGTTAGTATAAAATGTTAATTAGAAACTGTTAATTAGAAAATGTAAATACTAAATATGTTTTTATGATATTAAAAAAAAAAACTTATAAATGCAAAAATAATTATATTTGTATATATACTAAAACTAGTTTTCGAATACACTTACACATTATATAATGCAGTGAATTTTATATAACAACACGCCGCACTTTATAGAACATCGTGTTGCACTTTATAATACAAAACGTTGCACTTTGTAAAACAACATAGTGCACTTTATCACCATGCTCCATAATTAACGTTAATAGCTTCAAAATACTATGCAACATAAATATGAAAGATAGACAATAGATCCAAACAAAATACAATACATAAATCTATAAAAAAATATAAATACCTATATTTTAGCATCCATCTTATCATTTGACAAAAAACAAAAAGAAAAAACAAACACAAACATGCAAACGTACCAAAATTACAGTAGTGCACTTTTTATATCAACACGTTGCACTTTATAAAACAACACGTTGCACTTTATAAAATAATACGTTGCACTTTATCGCGACTAGAGTTTTTGATTCGCGAATTTTGTATTTCGGTTCGATAAATTCTTTTTACTTTTAAAATCACAGTTATGTCAGTTCAATGTCTGATTTATTTTAAAAAAAAAAATAATCAATACAAATAAAATGACCAAACCATATAAATAAATAATAAAAATATATATGGATTGTGAGTGCACATTATATTTATACAAATTGCACATTAATGACTAATATGTTGCACACTATGGAATGAAAACTACATAACTAGGATTTTTGGCTTGTTATTTTTTTCTTTAAAAATACTTTAGTTCAGTTCGATGTCGCTTTTTTTTAATTAAATAGTCGAACTAACCAAATGTAAAAAATATATAAAAAATAATATTATTATTTTTCATTTTTATATAAAATATACAAGTTAGTTTCAACAATTAAAATATAAGAATATTAAAATAATAATCAATTTTAGATTAATTATGAATATGACCCGTGAGCCAAATCGTAATATATAAAAAATGATACAATTTTTACTAAGTCCTAGAACTTTTATTAAATCACCAATTTGCCACAAGTATCAAATTAAAATACATTAAAACTTTAAAAATTGCAATATGACCCCTTAAGCACATCAAATTCTCAAACTAAGGCCCCAATCAATAAATTGAAACTGTAAATCAGAAAAAATAGCACATTCAATCTCAGCCCACAAATCGATTATCCCCGCCGCCTGACCTCCCTTCCGACCGGACAAGCGCCGGCTAGACGGACATGGCTCTGCGACATTGAAATCCAATTTGCGACTGTATAAGGGGGTGTAGAGTTCGATCGGAACTGGAACAACCGGTGACGCTCGCGTACGCCATTGACCAACAATTGAGCCCGACGGCAGCCTGAAACTTGATAACATCGTCGATGGAGGCAATTTCGGAGGCGGGTATGGTTCAAATCACAATCGGCAATATTCCGGCGCCGTCGCATGGAGGTGACTGTTGCGTCTGGTGGCGACGGTAGGCGTCTGGCGGCAACAGGTGGCCTCAGGTGTCGAATTCGGAGTGCGTCGTTGGCCGTCGATCCTGCGGCGACGGGCGGCCTCTGGTGTGAATAGCTGTGTGTTTGGTGTGTGTGTGTGTGTGTTTCGTGAATTGTGTGTGTGGGCAGGTAGGGTAGGTGGTGGCGTGTGAGTTGTATAAACTAATTAGTAAATAAGTGGGTCCCACTGGATGTTATTATTTAAAATGACAAGTTTATCCCTAATAATTGGTCAAATGCTAATATCTGACCTTTATATATTAACTTATTTACCTTATTGCCATTACATGTTTGACTCTTATTAGTTCATGTTGACTTGATCATGACCATTGATATACTAGATCAAATGGTACAGGATCATTTTTATTTCTTTCACTATGTATCATTCTCATATGATCCCTTCTCTCTCTCTCTCTCTCTCTCTCTCTCTCTCTCTATATATATATATATATATACATATATATATATCTTATATCTTATACAAACAAGTTAGTCCACTTCTATGGCTGACACGTGTCCCATTTTGAATGCTTCTATGGGCGACATGTGTCATGTGTTCAATAGTTATAACAGCCCCTAAATTTGTTGTCTTTTTACACTTACTGCTACCATCTCTTATCCACATTTGACAAAAATACCCCTGTTTAACCCTACTTTGGAAGGTTAAGATGGTTATTTGGGAGTTTTTTTCTTTCTTGGTGCAAAAGTTTTCTGGACAATCACTGTCAACGTTTGAAAGGAAATTTCAATGTGAACAGTCTGCCCATAGTTCTGTAGTGAGATTTTCTGCTGAAAAATCCGGTGCGATGCGACTTGCGAGGATGTTCATTGATTGGATTTCCGTAAATTCGGGTACGTCTTCTCCACTTCTCTAATTAAATCGACGGATTCAAAAATAAATTACTCTCTCCAATATTCAAATCCTAAACTCTCCTTTTCTCTCCAACAAATACAAGCATCTCAAGGGGAGGCCCGTCAAGATCTGGCGAAGCCCTGATTGTTCACAAGCGGTGGTGGTTGGGCTGAAGCTTTGACGAGCGATAAAAATCTGGTGGTACGGTAGGATACCTCCGACTGATACACAAAACTTTGAGGTAAGTCTGGAAAATGTTCTTTTTTATGTTTGAAATTCCAAAAATAAGACATTTCTCTCATTGCTTTTAATTGTATTGTGAGATTGTTGGAATTTGTTAGTCGACCTCAGTTATGGAGCTTTCATTGAATAAAAGAATGCGCAACCGACGACTTTGGGGTGAGTGGCAGCGGAGCTACTAAACAAAGCGACGGTCGATGGGTAAGATTGACGGAGGCGGCATTCAGTTCTGTGATGGCCTGAGCAGCGAGCAGTGTCGGTTAATTCTTATCAACACGGATTCAGGTACTCTTTTTCATTTTTTTGGATTCAGTGTTTTTAATAGTCGGCCAAAACCCTAGCCAATAAATCCAGTTATTTGAAATAACATCATCAAAGAGAGTGGCGAAGAAAACAACTGCGGGAGTCTGGCGAAGCCCTGATTGTTCACGAGCGGCGGTGGTCGGGCTAAGCTTTGACAAGCGATAAAATTCCGGTGGTATGGTAGGATACCTCCGACTGATACACAAAACTTTGAGGTAAGTCTACAAAATGTTCTTTTTTATGTTTTAAATTCCAAAAATAAGACATTTCTCTCTTTACTTTTAATTTTTGTATTGTGAAATTGTTGGAATTTGTTAGTCAACATCAGTTATGGAGCTTTCATTAAATAAAAGAATGTTTTCCCATATATGGGTTATGGAATTGAAGCGGCCTCTACAAGACTGTTTAGCGTGCAAGTAGAATAAAGTTTCGAGTTTTTTTGTTTCAGGGTAAATGATATTATTCGACCGTCAAATACCTAGACCAGTTGAATTCTTCAAAATTTATGACTTTTACGCGATATCATTGATTTTTTTTTTGTTAGGGCTTTGCAGTTCGAGTTTTTCCCTAAAGGTGATATTTTTGGGTTCAGGCGTTAGGGAATTCAGGGTTCTTTATCTGTTGAAATGGGTTTTTAGTTTCCGTTCTCAACATTCATTATAACATTTGGTAATTGCGAATGTTGAGGCTAAAAAGATCCTAGCCTTGTAAATAACGAAGAAGTGAAGACCTACTGGGTTGTAATTTTGAGGTAAAAAGATCATAGCTTTCTGCTATTTGCATAAATAAGGGGTCATGGGGGCTATTTATTTGATCACAAGTTTCGTGAAATTTATGCTCGTGTTTTACTTGGGATTTCTATAGCTTGTTTTTGTTCTTTAGGTGATTTATTGGTTTAAATTAGTGTGGAAATAGGCGAGCACACTGTTGTGAATGCGAGTCAACTACAAAAACCTGAGGTGGTTGACCCAACTGGAAAGAAGCCTGAGATGGTCGGGTCCTCGTCGTCAATGGCAGCAGATAATGATAATGTGATGATGGTGGTGGAGCATGAAGAAGAGGATGAGCAAGCACCTCCAATAGGGTTGGGAGAGTGTCGTATTTGCCAAGAAGAGGATTCTTTCAACAACTTGGAGAGTCCTTGTGCTTGCAGTGGAAGTCTTAAGCTAAAATAAAAATCCTTATATTGAGGCATTTTTTTATGTCTGTCTATATTTGTTGATGTTTATTCGTGATATTTGTTTTGTAGTAGCTTTGTGTTTGGTGTTTAAGAAAGGGTTTGCTGGTGAGGAATCTTTAAGATGATAAATGGGAGACGCCTGAACATTTTGATTTGTTTCGTTATTTATGTTTTATACGGAAAATGGAATTACTATGCAAGAAGGTATCTGTTCAGGAAGATGTTAAAATCTTTTGCAGTTGGTATATAAATACATATAGCTTGTAGTATTGGTGGAAAGCGTTTGTGGATCTTTTAAGCTCTGTTAGTCTTTGATTTGAAGAGCTTATCTTTTGATGACTTGTCGTAGAATTCATGCCACAGGGTTATGCTGAACAAATGCATAGGGAACCTTTATATCATCGACAGTACTCACTACAAAATCAATAAAACTACTCTTTTCCCTTTACATGATGGAATTCTCTTCTAACGAGTCTTCGAGTGCACAAGGGTATTAGGGTTACACGTATGATCGGTTCAATATTTGGCTAACATTTGTCTTTCTTCTTGGCCCCCACCCCCATGTTTTGTTCAGAACAATCATTTGTACAAATTGTCTGGTTTTCTATTTTACTGAGACATATTACTTTTCAGTATGCCCACAGAAAATGTGTACAACACTGGTACAATGAGAAGGGAGACATAACCTGTGAGTCTGCCATCAGGTATCTGACTTAGTGCTCTTCAGCTTTATCCATTCAGTATTTATTTTCAAGAAATGGATCGAACTTAGATAATTTTGTTCCCATTTGTCAAGTTCAGTACATATATGATGATGGTTTGAGACATTCTTATATCATTGTTATATTTTCCTCTCATCAAATGAAGTTGGGGCATTCAGTTACAAATTCAGTAGATCATTTATTGTTGGGAGTGTGTTTTTTGTTTGTAAGTAGCATAATTCAATCGGGGTTGTGCCAGTAATGTTTTTACTTAAGTCTGTTAATTGTAAGTGGTGGCTTTTCTGATAAAATAAAATTTTACAGCAACCTGAGGTTATCCAGTATAAATTGTTGTAAGCGTTTTTTAACATCTGGAAGAGTTTTCTTTCATGAATGCATATTAAGGAAACCTTAAAACATCACTGTTCGCCTTCGGTTTGTAGACAACGGTGCTTGTCTATGAAAAATAGAAAAAGATAACAAACAAAGATCGAACAATACAAAAACTAATGCCTTAAACGTCTTGTTTACTTGTGGTTTTTGCATTGGATGCATGTGCATGTCAATCAATCAATACTATCAATGCAAAATACTCATAGTGATTTTGTTTGAAATAACTCTCATAAAGACTAAAAACATCTTTTACTTCAGTGGTGCTAATCTTTTACTTTGTTTTGCAGCAATATCAGCCTGGTTACACAGCTATTCCATGTCCTCCTATTGATGAGACTACAATTGATATTGGGTAAACAATTTTTTTTTTTTTTGTATCACAATTATGTCTTTTTATACTCAGTAATGATGCTTCAGAAGTAGAGGTTTCACAAAAATGTATCATACAATTATTGATTTTTTTCATGTTTCTTTCTTTTTTCTTTTTGGGTTGACTCGCTTGGTCGACTGTATTGGAATTTACCAAAAAACTGCTACATTATTTATGTGACAATAGCAAACTAATATTATCATTTCTATTTCTGATTGTCTTGAAGTTCATAACTTCAACTTCTCTTGTTATCCGATATTCATTTTTTTCCCAGCAAATATTTTTGCTGATTCATAACTGAAGAGAGACTACAAGTTATAGCATACTCAACATAATTGTGAGATTATGGCTCTTTCATGTTGTCGCATCATATTTTCTTCGATGGGTTGGGACCCATTGGCTTATGGTGGTGTTCATAAGACTCTATTGTCCAAGGAATCTCTTTTTTAAGGCAAGTTTCACCTTCTTCATTTATAAAATATTATGTTTCTTGCTAAGGTTTACTCTGTATGTTACCTATTTGTTTGTTCTTTAGGACCATGGATGATAATTGGCTTATTTTGAAAAGGCAGACATTTTTTTTATTTGGTTAAGGAGCATAGTAAAGGTTATGAGGTTATTTGTGTATAGTGTGTGTGGTGATAAATTATATTGAAAAATTTGATTTTTATGACTAGAGATTGGAGCTTGTACTTTCTTTATCTTCTTTTTATGATCTTTGTTTAGTTATATGTCTATTAACTTTAAATTGTTGCAGTATACAATTGGGATTAAGAATACTATGGCAGGCATGTCTTTGTCTCTATGTGATGCAAATGTTTGTTGGCTCATTGACATATATTTGAAATGACTGAAATTATGCTATAGTTATGTTTAAAAAGGAAATTCTATGAAATTTTGTGTGGCAAGTACCTTACTAATGTGATTGACCGACAAAGAAATTCTTTGGGCAGACAAAAGTTAAAGATGTTGAATTTTCAGATTGGTCATGTATCAAACCCTTTAATCAGGTATGAGTCTTGAAAGTCCAAGATTGGCATGTTATGTCACAATAATTCTTTTCAATAACCATTTGACTTCATTTTTGTTTTCATTTTGTGTCTGCTTGATGGAATGCATCCAATTTATTTCATAGAGCCGATACTCTTAAGTCTTTAATGGGTTTAATTTTGGATTAAAATGTTACTATCCAGGAGCAGATGGAAAAGAAAACTAAAGAAAATTTGGCACAAAGTGCCAAGGGGTATAATCTTATATGTTCAAATCTACCTCGATAAAATCACAATGTATAAGAACCTGGAAAGAGACAACTATAAATACTGTCCAACAATGCCACCGAATCAGAATTTGATCTCATGAGTCGCGAAAACATGATTGTTACCGAAATCAAAAGAGCAAAATCTTAAAACATTTCCAAAAAAAAAAAAAAAAAAAAATAAACACAATATATGTGAACAAATGCAACATACGCTAGAAAATAAACTGCAACAACTTATGACAAATTTTCACAGTAATTTTACGCTGGGTGTTAGACCGCCGTGCGTGCACGGCAAACTCATCTAGTATATATATATATATATATATATATATATAT